GAAACAAAATAAGAAGTTATGAATATTCTGATCTTTTAAACATAATTATAATGCATGAGTAAGTATAATACCATTTCTAACTTTCTATTTAACAACACTACACCTGTCCTATTGCCCGTGATTCAAGTTCCAAATTCCAGGAAACAACATTTTTTAGAATTTTTGGCAAAAATAGGCTTTTATACTACCAAAAGAATGAAAAAAAAACCCACGTAATTTTTATATATTATACATGTTATTTTGCGTCAAGACTTGGAAAATGTGAGTCCTAAGAAGTGGTATCTTAATTCTACTGTAAAATAAGCGGATTAGGCAAATGCATAACATCATATTTTCACTATGCTTACCCATGCATGTACCAGCTTAATTCATATCATCTGTTATTTTTCTTTAAATATATGGTTTTAATTTGTGTTTAGACACCAACCCTTCTCACATCCCGGTGTCTGAGTCTGATAAATATGAACAAATGTCGGACAGTGTTATTGACGCAGCAAATAATATTATGGAGGAAAAACAACAAGTTGTGGGAGAAACAGAGAGACTAGAAAAGGATGTTTCAGAGACTCAAGGCTCCCAAGAGCTTATTTCTGTGTCGGAAAATGAAAACAACACGGCAGAAGAAGCAACGTCGCAAGCTAGGAATAGTATTGAATTTAATGCACCTGATGCTGGTCATACTGTCTCTGATAGTGCTGAACAAACGTCAAACACTGCGATTGTTGTCGTGAATGAACTTGAGGAAATAAAGCACGTGGTGGTGCCAGAAACGGTTGTTACAGCGACAATGCCAAAAATCGTGCAACAGCCCCCTGCTTCATCAGAGAAGACGGATGTTGACGATCAAAGTAGCATTGACGAGGGTGCCAAAAATGATCCCGACCATGTAGTTACACTGGTGTCTACTAAGGACGGTCAACTTCCTAAAGACAGTACGGATGTTCAGAATGCAGTACAGGTGCAAGATAAAGGTATATTGCAAAGTAAGAAAAATAACCTGGAAGTTTCTCATGACCAGAATGTTAGCGGAACAAATTCAAACGACCAGAGTGGCATAACTGAGGTTGATGATGGGAAATCTAGGTATGCTGGCGAAAGTGAAACAGTCGCTTTAAAAAGTGAAAAACTAGAGTCAAAAGAAGTTTTAGACAAATCTATTAAAGTCTTTGAGGTCATACAAATGACAGGAACGGGAGACGTTCGTGATGTACAAATTACACAGAAACTTGGACAACAATCAAAAGAAAAGGAAGGGGACGAAAAGAAGGAGGGCCAGAAAGAAGACGGAAATGGCGAACAAAAGATAGAAAATGAAGAACGGGGCAACATGTCTAAAATTGCTCATGCAAATGGTGAAGGAAGTGAGACTGATCGAAAGGTGGAAGACGATGTAAAGGCGAAAACGGCAGGATATGGCAAGAAAAGCGAAGAAGAACCCAATGTAAATTTCAATGTACAGGACAAAGATGGTAAAACGAAGAAAACTGTTATAGGCAACACAAGTGAAAGTAAAGAAGATGACGAATCCTGCCACGGAAAAGGAACCACCGGATCCACTACAGATGCGAAAGACGAAACACCGAAACCACAACAATCAGGTGGTAATGAGGTATGTTTGTCCAGTACAAGAGACACTTTGAGCAGAAATAGGACGCGATTTGAGAGAAGATTTGAGCAGAAATAGGACGCGATTTGATTATTTTACTTTATTATCTAAACAAAAATGTAAATTTCACGCGTTTTGCTTTCACTCGAATTATTCAGAGTCACTTGTACTTTGACTACTTTTAGTACAGTATGTAACATCTTTTCTCTGCAACGGGTTTTCATGTTTAAGCGGCTTCTTATGCTGTTGCAAAGACTTTGTGTTTCGAATGATTAAGGGCTGCATTCTAATTAGGCGTATTTCATATCAGTGACGTCGGGTTTGGGAGGGCGGGGGTTAATTTTCAATTAAGTTGGACACCGTAGTTTCAAATACTTTCCAATGTTAAAATGTTTCCAATTTATTCAAAGATTTCGTCAGTACTGCCAGCACAATATATGAGAAAAACTTTATATAATAACTACAGTGAAATACCCGATTTGATTGGCCAATACCCGTGCAGGATCAGATAGTCCTGCACGGAAATTTTTGAAATGGCTTCGCGCGGGCGTTTTAAAATGTCGGACAATGAAAACATTTCAATGTGTGCAGTTAACACTATATTAAGCGAGATACAAGTTAACAAAAACAGCGAACGAAGGTTTGCGCTGACTACAGAAAATGAAGTTGATGAGTTGATCTCAAATGTCCAAGCACAAAAACGAAAACAATTATAATACGCTGTAAACATTTTTAAGGGTAAACGATAGTTTATTTAGTAACATTTTCAATCCATTTCTTGAAGTAGTTTAGAATATTCGTGGGGGTAACCCACTTATTCTGTCTCTGATTGGTTAGTTCACGATTGTTGTGAGAATTGCACATTTCATCAATGATTTTGATAAACTTAACCGTTATTTCACGGTAGTTATTTCATAAAACAATTACAAAATGGTTTTCCGCGTAGGATAGCGTCATCCATGCACTTGGGATGTTGTTCGACTTTCGGAAAAAGTAAGAAACCACTCGCCTGCTGCTCTTATTTTTTTCCACTTAACGAAAGTTTCGCAACATTCCGCGTGCAATGGATGACGCTATCCTGCACGGAAAACCATTCGGTATTTCTTTAGTGAAAAATTACTCCTCATAGATTCTTTAAAATGGTTGTTTACATATATAATACTTTTTTAATTTACGTTGTTGAAAACAGAACGAAGTTCCTAAAGGGAAAGTAACTCTTCTCAAGTTATCTCAGATGGTATCCAATCATAGCGGAAGAAATTCAAACAACCAGAGTGGCATAACTGAAGATGACGATGGAAAATCCAGGTGTGCTGCCGAAGGTGAAAAAGTCGCTTTAGAAAGTGAAAAAGACCAGGTAAAAGAAGTTTTGGACAAACCTGATAAAGTCATGGAGGTTATGCAAATGGCTGGAACAGGAGACGATCGTGATGTGCAAATTACACAGGAACTTGGACAACAATCAAAAGAAAAGAAAGGGGACGAAGAGAAAGAGTGCCAGAAGGAAGACGGAAATGGCGAACAAAAGATACAAAATGAAATACCAAGCAACAATTCTAAAATTGCTCATGCAAATAGTGAAGGAAGTGAGGCTGATCGAAAGGTGGAGGACGATGTGAAGGCGAAAACGGCAGGAAATGGCAAGAACAGCGAAGATAAACCGAATGTAAATTCCAATGTACAAGACAAAGAGGGTAAAACTCAGAAAACTGTTATTGACAACACCGGTGAAAGTAATAAAGATGGCGAATCCGGCGACGGGAAAGGAACCACCACATCCACTACAGATGCGAAAGACGAAACACCGAAACCACAACAATCGGGTGATAGTCAGGTATGTTTGTCGAATACAAGCGACATAATTGAACTGAAGATTTGAGCGAAAATGGGACGCGATTTGATTATTTTACTGTATTATCTTAACCAAAAATTAAATTTCACGCGTTTTGCTTTCACTCAAATAATTCAGGGTCACTTGTACTTGGATTGCGTTTGTATGTAACTTTGAAGGGGGCTAATTTTCAGTTAAGTTGGACACCGTAATTTTTAGCTAAGTGCAAGCACGACACGCAAAACATGATGCAACTGTCTCAGCGGTTGAAACTAAGCGGTACGGGGGCATGTTCTCGCGGCCCAGAAAAGTTTGAAAAATTGAGGCTTGATAAAGCCATTTTCCGCACTCAGGTCTGGTCAGTCCCGAATTCAAGAATTTGGACGGCAAAAATGCTGCAAAAATTTGCTTTAAAATTGGTTTGGGTCTGCAGCTTTCCCACAACCACCTTCTTGGATCACATTTCCGATATACATAAACTCTTTATCTTGATGAAGTCGTGTGCCCTGTTTCTAATCTTTAGCTAATTCAGTTTTGTCGTTGTCGAACAGCGACCTTTTCTTCAAGTTTCGTGTTTCTTTTGCATTGAATTCTTCTCAGGGAATTTCTTTTCTACACCTCTCAGTGGTAGTGTCGATAACCAAAATGAACAGCAGGTGGCTCAATACTGAGCTTTGGTGCTGCCTTACTTGTCACGGAAAGCAGCTAAAGAGTGAGTATCATGCCCGCGATGCCTTGCGCGCTTGTGTTTACGTTTTATGTTTACATTCGGCTGTAGCTAATCAATATGCATGCGGGCAGCAGACGCACACGAGGTTTGTAGAATTCGTTTACCTTATTCGTTTTTAAAATGTCGGATTTGGATAGTGATTCCGACTTGGCACACGAGATTTATGATCCTGAAGGTGATCCTAATTATTATGGTTCGCCAGTACGCCGTTCTCTGCCTTTGGAAGGCCCGTCGACGTCGACTGCTCAGATGCCTATCCTTCCTGAACGAACGCAGGTGATTACTTGCTCTGTTGCTCACAATTTTTATCGTTATCCATGATATATTCTAAGACAATTTTCTTTCATCTTTGTAATCGTGTACATTAATTTTCTTAGTTTTGTCAGTGTAAGAACACCTGTAGCCGAAAGAGTGGGAAAAAGCAGCGAGGTTGTCCCTGCAGAGATGATGCTTTGTTTTGCTCAGAGAAGTGTTCCTGCGGAACCGCAAAATCTGCGTGTAAAAATAGATTGGATGTTGCAAACAAAGCAGCAGTTTCCAATGCCGGGTTAAATGCATTCGAACGCCATCGTATTGCTGTAGAAGAGTCAAAGCAAGAAATTTCGGTGAGACCACTGTATATTTATGTTACGTTTTACTGACTATACAATGTCACCAACTTATAATAACATTACAACAGTCTGGCATTTATATCGAACAATTCAAAGCAATGTTTTGATATCATTCTCAGTGTATATCCACACTGGGCAGGCTGAAAAGTTAGCCTGAACACGGTTGCGCTGCCATTCAAAGTAATTTGAATATTCATAGCAATTAGCAAAGCTACAATGCTTGACATAAGGCATTTTTTTTGGCTTTGTAAAACTCATAAAATATCATCTTTCTTTTTCATAGCGTTTTATTGCTAAATGCTGGACTGTTTAATATTATATACTATTACATAGATGAAGCAAATTAATATTTACACTTTTGAGGCTAATATTGTCAGATTTTTAATACTGTGTGAAGAGGTCTGAATATTTATAATTATGCAAGTACAGTATGTTATTGGGCCAATCAATCTTTGTCAAATCATATCTTATTGCAGGAATTCATATCAATCTTGACAGGAGAACAGAAAAACGTGATCCTACTAGAACTCCTTTCAAATGGTAGTGGAAGTATGGACTATGCCAAAAAGTTGTTGGATTTTGGTGGTACTGTGCCAGAGTTGCCTCCTACAAAGCCATGTTGGTGTGTTTGTGGAATTTGTCAACCCATGCCAAGTGAAGAAGAGAACAAATGTTGTGGCAAAATTACATGTGTGACATCCTTTGTGACATTCAGGAATGTATGTACTGATAGGGAGGTTTTAATCATGGCTATAAGGGCCAGATGTGACATAAGAGCAGACGAAATAGACTACTCCATGAACAGTTTTAGAAAAGCAGCCTATCGCCAGTACATACTTTGGCGATACAAAAAACTTGGGCGTGGAAATAGAAGAGTATGTCCATCATGTGTGGTCCTAGCAATAAGACAGGTTTATCCTGCAGAAGATGGCCAGTATATGGGCTTCAAAAGGGCATAGAAACAGAAATAAAAGTGGAACTATTATTTGACAATTCAATGTATCATTCAATAATTTGCTTTAATTTACAGGATCATTTTAAATAGAGATTTGTAATATACAGTTAACCCAATTAACTGGTATTAACCCTTTAAGTGGCAATGTGCCCAGATGCACCCTACAGTATCTTATTATTTTACTCATCAGGGGGAGAGTGCTGCCACTCAATGGGTTAATCAAGTGGCAATGCACCCATATGCGCCATACTTTATTATGTTACCCTGTCTAACACTATATCATTTTACTCTGTCTAACGCCAGATGATTTTACTTGTCAGGGGGAAAGTGCTGCCACTCATTATGTTAATACTGTACATCTAATGCCTGTATTCTAAAAGCTTCCTCACACTCATTACTAAGTGTGACACATCAATCATGGTCCTGCTAATCAATGATATAGTCCTTCCTCAATCAAATATGGTAAGATTTTGGGTGAAATAATCCAATCAAGCTGTCTGTCAAATGGAAATTCCGTCATGGAATTGGCTACGAGGTGATTGTGATCTTTCATTTTATGAGTGTGATTTTAGAATTATGATCATAAGACTTACAATATTGCACTATACTGAAGTGATAATGTACTGTACGATCTAAGAACTCCAGTATATTTAGTGCAATTCAATTGCTCTACATTATTATTTCAGGGAGAACAGAGCTGCTGTAAGTCCACATGTCAGTGGCGTAGCCAGCCCGACAATTTACTCATGCTACCCAAATTTCAAATCATTGTCATTATTCATTTCTTTAGAAATTGATTGTTTCCACAGTATATGAACACGAAAATATTTGCATAGCATGACCAAATTGCCAGGCAGGCTACGCTACTGCCACATGTACATTATGGTTGCATACTGTCACTCTTTGGAGTATCTTGATAGAGATTTTTCAACCAAATCGCTTGTTTTTGGGATAGGTATTTGGGCAATGGATGGAGCAATATTTTTGGGATGGTCATCAGGAATTGGTGTACTACGAAGGATACTTCTTTTATCATCCTTTCTCTGCTGTAACACCCTAGTGGAGATACTAGGCCAGTAGTCGTATTCTTTATCCTTCTTCACAACTGAAACTCTGAAGTTCTTCGACCTTTTACTAAATACCTTGTTGTACTTCAAGTTTCCTTCTTTACTGAGAAGTGGCTTTCGATGAAGGTGAGCATTGTGATCAATGGCAGCTAACAAAGTTCTAGCTGTAAAAGATTCATTCCTATATAAATGCATATATATATAAAATGCATAATTAATAAATAAATTTTGATCACAATGAAGTACTGTACTGTATATATTCAACTATGGCATAATGATACTTACTGAAATCCAACTCTCTTAGGGGCATATTTTAAGAGCATTGAATTAAAATTTTCCAGTTTGCTAGTGTGCCTATAAAATAGAAGCAAAAGGTTTAATACGCTTACCTGGCGATACATTTACAGACTTGTGTATATCAATTGAGGGCATTTTTTGAACTTGGTATATGAATTCCAAATATTTTGATTTTTAGATTTCTAATACCATAATATACTTCTATCATTCACTGTCATAAGTCAGAACCAACTGTCCGTTATTTGTGGTTCTCGCAAGCAGGTAAGCGTTGTTAAGCATTTCACTAAGCAAATTTCAATCATATGTACAGTATGTGCACTTATTGTTTTAAATGTGCACAAATCCTCTTCATCCAAAGATAATATAATACAACATAATCTACCTGAAAGTGACATAGTGCTGCAGTGTACTCAGAAAGCGAGGATCAATCACAACTTTTCTAATTGCTTCCATTGCTTTTGAATTTTTTGGTAGGATTGTCTTTCCACCTTCTTCCTCCACTAATGGTCCATGATCACATTCCCCATCTGCCCATTCATGTTCTCCACATACATGGTGGAGGACACCAAACCAACTATCCTAATTTGTAACAATGGATGTCATTAAATAGGGGATCATACCCCAGCAGGTGATTATTGGGGAGTGTAAACATGAGAAAAGGGCATCAAATTTTGAACTTGAGTAGGAAAAACTGCATCATTTTGAAAATATAGTTACTCCAGTACAGTCCTTATTGCACTGCCTGCATTGAGTGGCAGCACTCTCCCCCTGTCGAGTAAAATCGTCTGGCATTAGATAACATGAAACAATAAGGTGGGGTACACATGGGCGCATTGCCACTTAAAGGGTTAATAACCATTTAACATCGCAAATTCTGCAAAATATCAAATTCTGCAAGTGCATGAAATCGCATTACAGAAACCCTAAATTTCAAAATTTCCCTGGGGAGCACACGCACGGACACTTCTAGCTTCTCTCACGCCTTCGGTGTTTGCACTTCGCCGGCACAAAAATAAAAACCATGCTATACCATTGTGTATTGGTAGACAATAGAGGCACGTTATTCATGTACCTCAGCAACACAGTAGCCAGAATTCCACTGTTAAATACTTATAACAGTAAACTGAACATATTTTTCATTATGTTCACTTTCATTTTACTATTGCACCATACCTTGAGCTTCTCAGCACTGCCCTTACAATTTTCAGCAACATGCCAAAAATGGTTGCGGATTGGTTCTGACCACTCTGAAATGACCTCACAACCTTTGACTTTACCTGCCTAGATGCACAAGAGAATATTTGGAATTTATAGCATGAATGTTTATTATCATGATACTGTAGTTGGTGGTAAACTATACAAACTTGCATCATAAACTTGTATACTTTACCTTGGCCAGTTTCTTTGTTAGCTTAACAGACTTGTGCCAGATATCTAATGCATGGAACAAATGACCAAAATCATGTGGGTATTTATCTAAAAAGATTAAAAGGAATCACATAAAATTATTGAACATATTTGGAGAAATATTTTTATTCAAAGTTGTATCAGAGAAATCCTTTCAAATTAAACCAGTGAATTGGAATCACCCTACCAATGAAAAGTAAATATAGACAGCATATACTAATAGATTTTATATAATACCTTATTAAATTCTAATTGTTTAATTGGCTGTTTATGGTCACATGATATTGAATAGAAAATTCCATTTCCCAAGAGTGCAATGGAACACGTTCCATTGCACTCTCCGCGAGTGCAATAAATAAATTATCCACTTCTTTTTACTCAATGTACTATACCTTTCATATCCCGTACAAGTTTCATAACAGTTGTAGATGCATCAGTAACAATCTCTGACATAAGGAGTTTGCCCACAATCCTTTCTAAGAGCTTCTTTAAAGTGTACACCTCCATATTTGTTGATACACCACCTGTTTCTCTCTTATCTGTCACTTCAATATCAACAATGACATCAAGAAATTGCTCCATTAGTAAATACACACAGTATTTTGCACAATGACCTGGAGAATCATTCCTTCCATCACCACACAAAATAAGCTGCTCGTTGGTCAATACTTTCCATATTTCACTTTTCATATCCTCCCAAAAGGATGTAATGGAAGGGATTATATAGTGCCTTTGCATCCTATTAAATGTTTGTCTTGAAATGAAATTCAAACCTAAAAACTTACTGAAAAGCATGTGCTTGTCATAATGGCCTCCAGAAAGTACCAAGCCAAGGGCCAGTAGCAAACTTGTGGAAAAGATGTCTTGGCCATTCTTTTGGCAGAGCACTTGTGAGGACACCCAGTACCCAGAATGGTCATTTGGACATTTCCAAGATACTTGCAAAACTCCTCCAGTGAGTTTGTAGTTGAGAACCTTGGACTTTTCAGCACAAGATTCATTTGGGCACTTATCCTCAAAAAGTGGTAAAAGTTTTGTTATGTCAACAATAACTCGTTCTTGCTGAGCATGCACATTATGTAGGTCACTTTCTTTGCCGACACGATTTAATGAATCAAACCTATCCTTCAATTCTTGATTTAGACGTTTGTCTCTTTCCTGTTTTGATTCAGGGCCATGCTGTATTTCAATCTCAATATCTTCTAATTCACTTATGTCCATAGGAGTTTCTCCCAGTGAGCCACATTCAGAAGCAGTAAGAGTTTCATCTAGATCACTGTCACTATCAAGCAAAAACAATTATTATAAATATTAATCATAGTCTTACATTAATGTATATATTAGTGTTATTTTATACTGAATGGGGGAGAAAAGAATCAAAGCAAAAAGTGTTTACTCACACACTACTGGGGGCCCTAATAATGTGGGTTTGTAACACATCTTGTTATAAGTCTGACATTGCTTACCGATGTCGAAGGTAATACAAATGATGCTAACTTCATATAGACTTCTGTTTGACGCGAGACCTAGAAAGGGATTTAACATGATTACAATATTATTGTGTGTAGTTGTGTGTTTACTTACCTTTCATCCTTTCCATCAACATCAAGCTCCTCACTCTCATTTTCAAGCTCCTCACTTGAACTAAAACTATGAAAAAACATTATTCAAATTATCGTTAATTCTAAAAATTTACCATACCAATCAGTGAATAACATAAATGGGCTTTCCCTAAACCTATATCTTGGCAAGGCAAAGCAATGGAAGATCATGACCAATCAGAAAATGAAGTTTTGGTAAAATTTGTATGACAATAAGTACCTTCTATCACTTTCATCATCAGAGCTATAGGTTGAGCTTGTACTTGAACAGTCTTCTGATGATAGTTCGCCCTCATGCATACCAAAATGTGGATTAATGCCCATGATGATACTATCTACCCTGCTAACATTCAGCTCAGACACCCCAGACATATTTGCAATTCTAAAAAGTCAGGATGTCACATATTAATAGTTTTGACACAAATAGGCATATTAATTCACGAAAACATATTATATACATACTCTGTTTCCACCTCACTACCTTCAACAATAGGCGACAAAGGCAACTGTGAGTGCATGGACACATGTCTGCGTACTGGAGTTGAAAACAAGGGACCTTGGCTCGCTACATCAAAGATAATAAATGACATTTTTAAATATCCATAAGTGCAAACATATGTAGATAATTCGTTAATCCCGGTTCTTTATAAAAAAAATATGTAAATGTATCGTACCTGTCGGGGAAACGGGTCTCTCAGGTGATGAAGTTTGAGGTTCGGTCGTGGTTACTGCTATTTCCATGGATTTTTGCAGCAAAATCTCTGCGAATTCACTGTGGGTTTTGTTGGAGTAACCCATTTCGTCTTTTCTTATATGTTCCAATGATGAAAAACGTCATTGGCCAGCCTTATACGCGTAGTCTTGCCACCATAAACAGACGGCCTTCCACGTTTCGGGAGCGAAGCACCGTCAGATTCGTCCATTACAAACGTTTCGCAACAAAATAACACACAAATATATAATATATAATGCCTTACTTCGTTTAGAAATAAAAATAATACAGTTTTCAAGTAAAATTGAGATAAATATTGACCAATTTAGAAGATATTTCAGAGATCACTCATAAATATCCTGAGAGTCGGCCATTTTGTGGGACGCCAAGCGCGCAAGGGATTGCGGTCATGATACTCACTCTTTAAACTTAATAGATTTCATTATCCCTGGAATATAGTGTCGGGGGGGGGGAGTTCTTAATGTTTTCATCTGCGACATAAAATATACCAAATCTGTGGCTCTCAGATTATCATCATAAAACGTCTATATGGGGCACCATGTATCTGGGGGACCATGTCCGGCCGGGCAGTTGGACCCCCCCCCCCCCAACTCGCTTGGAGCTGGGTATGCCCATGCTTACAAGTACATTGAGTAACTAATTTTACCGCTTTACATGTTCTTTCTGCCTAGAATGCAGACTTAAATTTTGTTGCCATTACAGTAAACTCTCCTGTTTTCAGAGGCCGTGCCCATGGGCAAATGTCACATGACAGGACTTCGTAGATATTCACACAATTACGCCAAAGCTAAAAATATTTTTAAAGTAACGAACATTCGAGATATTTCTATTTGCTGTAATTTGGAGATACAAAGATAGTCACTATCACGCATTCTGTGCTTTTTAATCAATAATTATATTTAATTTATTTTTTAAAGATATACCATTGTAATATACTAATATACCATAATGGTCTGATTTAATCAGACAAATAGATTCTATTTTTGTGAAGGCAGTCGATATTCCAAAATGAAGCTCATGTCAAATGCGGTCTATGTGCTGAAGGATTTTGCGTGAACCGCCTAGTTCGCGTGCAGGCCCACCGAGGGAAGAATACCGTAGTGGGCCTTCAAGGAAGACCGGGTATCAGATGAGGAATGAGGTCTTCCCACAATGCATTGCATTCATTATTATTCACAATTACGATTTTCAACGAAAATTTGGCGAAAAATTGTTGAAATACATTGCGATTTTGGCTCCGCATATCTCGTTTTTTTCAAAGGTACTTTTTTATATTTGTGTTATTTAAGAACCTAATTAAACTATTTTTGACTTGTTTGGTACAGGAATTGTTTTTTAGTTATGTTAATTACGCCTTGTAATTATGCTTGATTCGGTCAGTGGACACGCCATAAAAGTGGCTTTCAAAAAATGCAGAGCTATATTCATATTTTTGAGGGGAAATTGAAATAAAACACGTCATCGAATTAAGGAAAGTTTGTTCTTTCAATTAGTACTTTAAAACTTAAAATAGCTCGACGAAATTGACTAGTAATCGCCATTTGAAAACGGGTACTTTTGCTATATTCTACACCGATGTCTCTTGTGCTCCACTGACTGTATTTTTTTCATTTTGTTACAGATTTCGGCTATTTTGGAGTAAAACTGGAATGAGACTGCTATAAAATGGGTATATCCTTCTAAGGGTGATACCCCAGGGAAAACAATTAATAAGAGACAAAGAATTTCACGTTTGAAGAATTCAACATCAAGTCAAACTTTGTTTTAGAGTCCAGGAACATCACCAAAGGTATAAAAGTTAAAAGGTTTTTACAACCATAAAGTACAGTACCACTGTACAAAAACATTGTATTTTAAACCCTTTAAGTGGCAATGCGCTCTGATGACCATACTTTAGTATTTTACTCTGTCTAGCGCCTGACGATTTTACTCCTCTAGTGGAGAGTGCTGTCACTCAATGGGTTAATGAGACAATGAGATGTTAATGGGGGAAGGGCATAGTAACAGTAACATTGTATTTTAATGCTTTTTTGCCTGTGAACATTTCTGTCCATAGGCGTACGAGGCTGGGGGTTGCAACCCACCAGTCAGTGTTTAGTTGGGCAGAATTTTGCTTTAAAAATTGGGCAATTGTTTTATGATTGACAATTCTTCAATAACTTTCTTCTTCTACCAACAGTTGACCCTGTAACTGAAATATGGAAGGTAATTGACATCACATTCATATAAGAGAATTAAGTCTGATTAGTCCGATGTGCACTTGATAAGTGTACACTGATCCTCTGCTATTTTGCTAAATAATCAATAAAGAATTATAATTTTTGAAAGGAATTCAGGGAACTCTACTTAGTGTTGTCATCTTGGGACCCTATAAAAAATCAAATCTCAAACTTCTTTAACCAGGTAAAACACAAAAAGCCTTTTTTTACAATCTAAGTGAAAGTCTCTGTAATACATACTGTGACTTATTTTATATTATAATATAGCATTCGTAAACTCTGAACGCTGATTGGCTAAAAGCCGTGTTGATTTAACTCAATGTCAACAGGGGAAACTTTCCGCTGCTTGTAAACAAGGATTTTTTTCCATATCCTTCGGGCTTTTGACATTGCTATGTTATAAAAAATATATAAAATATTTTTTCCGTATTGATATAGTTATATCAACAGTAGTGGAAGTTGGGAAAACTCGAAATTGTATGAAAACACTCCGCCCTTCGGGCGTCGTATTTCCATACAATTTCTCGTTTTCCCAATTCCACTCGTGTTGATATAACTGTATATCAACACAGAAAATGTTTTATATTTGTTAAGTACTAGTTAGTATAGGTATTGTCGCCAAGCTGTATTTATTATTTTGTCTTTTTAGGCCAATAAATGGGTAAGAGACTTATTGTCTCTTGGAGGAACTGAGCAAGGTTATGGTAAAGAAAATATAACACCGTACATTCACATACTATGCTATCATCTATCCTTCTTCTTAGAAGCATCTGGAGTTAAGAGATTTACTGGACAAGGGATTGAAAAAACTAATGACGTTCTCAGAAGAATATACCACCTGAAAAGTAACAAGCATGATGTTTGCAAAGATGGCCTTTTAACAGTGAAAAGAATGGATGACTTACAAGACCGCGAACGCAGACCAAGGTCTTACACCAGAAAAAATGAGAGATACTGGAACGAAGAAATAAAGGAAGATCGCAGAAAGGGGAAACGATTGAGTGTGATATCCAAAGAGACCAACCAACTTGATGTCGACAACTTAACTGATGAGCAATTTGGAGATAAACTCAAGCAGTTGAAATGTAAATCACGAATCAAATGCCCCAAGAAACCTAGTCAACTTCTCAAGGACAGGATTTATGCTGAAGAAAATTCTATTGGGGATATTTCTATAGTCTTAACACATATAAATGACTTTGGATAAGGGGTAACACTTTGTTAGCACAAGCACAAGTACCTATTTTGTGGTTGAATACCTTAGTTTAAATTATTAATGTTACATGCTCTTTTTACAAAGTATACTGAAAGTTTTTCACAATAATGGTTTGTGCCTTCACGACACTACCATTTTCTCCAGACAAATAGTCTTTTGTAGCTGCTTTTGTTAAATACGGCTTCAATTTGATTGGAAAGCCAATCGCCTTTCCTTCTCCATGTTGGTTCAAACAATAGTACCAGTGGTTAGGTAAGCCATTAAATCTTTCAAAATCCTCTCTTTCAAATAGGAGCCATCTTCCATTTGCTGTACCTTTGCCTTTAAAAAGGTATCGCCACACATCTAGATCGAATGGGACTTGAACATGGGCATCCACTCCCGATGACTTCACACCACTCTGCACATTTAATAAGAATGAGTGACAACAGCGTTCAACTCTTTCCATTGGAGGTTGGGGATCTTCATAACTTCTAGTTGCAAAAATGTATTGAATTTGTCTTAGGTTTTCATGATGAAATTAAGCCCTGATTCAGACTTGTGTAAGGGGCCGATTACATGGAGCACTTTCAACCCCGTGGTTGAACTCATCCCTGTTAGCCGGGTTGAAATTTTTTGCGATTACATGGACGATTTCAACTCTGGGTTAAAACGTTATACTATACGTTCTCGGCATCGATTCGCGGAAGTAAATAAGCCTCTATTTTGTTTTCTTGTAATAAATAGTCACTACCACGCATGCTCGAATAACTCATGATAATTTCAGTCCTGGGTTGAAACGATTACATGACAAATTTTCAACCCAGGGCTGAGTTCAACCCCGGGGTTGAACTCAGCCTTGGGTTGAAAATTTTGTCATGTAATCGCGTATTTGATTTTGATAGAGTTTTGTATTAGAGACAGGGCTGAAATTTCAACCCAGTAAGCAAGGCTGAGTTCAACCCCGGGGTTGAAAATGCTCCATGTAATCGGACCCTAAGTGTATATCTATTGAATAATAAGACTAAGTACTTTATAAATATTGATAAAATACCTTAAAGTATAATCATTAAGATTGAAGTCATGCTTCCAAGACGATTGCCACAAAGGATAGCCAACCCACCTGATTAGAAATTCTTCCTAAGATGTAAATATTTGTTTACAATACCAGAAACTAGCATAAATTTAACATCCTTCAAAGGCAGAAAGGCTGCAAATGGTGCAGAGAATGACAGAAATTACCACTTACCGTGTGTTGCCGCTTTCGTTTTTCAATCACTCTTTCAACTTCGTAAAACTTTCCTTTGCCTCTCTTCCTTTTTCTTATGTTATTGAGAAACGTCAAATTGTTTAGTGAAGCATAGGATATGGCTGGCAAAAACCCTCGTGTTTGCACTTTCGTGGCGCAAGAGTTGGCAGCCATATTGAATTTATAATTCATATTTGTTACTGCTGACTGAAAATCGCTGACACGACGATTAAGATTTCAGGCAATGATAAATACTGTACAAGGAAAACGACAGCTTAAATAATAGTAGACGTTTCTTGTTTTGTCAGCCTCACGTCGACACGACTTTTGAGTTTTGTAACCGGCCATGGCGAAAGTAAATCATCATGCAGTCGGAAAAACGTCTCACTTTGAAAGATTATTTTGCAGAACATACTCGTACACACAAGAATCGTAAATATACAAATGTTGAATTGTTATTGTCAAATGTCAAGTTCAGTTATTTTTAGAAAATATGGTGTTAGCCAATCAGAATGCAATGATGATTGGCTGCAAGTCTGGGTGCTGTCACTCAAAAGTGAATACGCCTTACTATGTAAACATTATACGTTTAATGAATGCGTTCGCTTGTAAATTTAAACTGAAGGATTCTCGAGTGTCAAAACGCGAACTGATTGCCAATACAAACGCGAGCAAGAGATAGCAGTTAAAGATTTACTCCTTGGGAAGAATGTTTTGGTCGTTCTAGCTACAGGTTATGGGGAAAGCTCGATTGTTACATTGTTCTTGTAGGCGCGAGAAAATATAACGAGAATAAATCGCCGTATAGTCTTTCTTGCAACGGGTTTTATAACAGGACTACTACGCCTAGGCCTATTGGCCACTTCACTTTCCGAACTTTTTAATTAAGGCTTTCTTTACCACACGGCTTCGTTCGGGAGACGAGACAGTTTATATTGGCAACTGAGGTTTTTAATATACAACGGTCTATGTTCGATACGTACACAGGTAATACGTACACAGACGCGTTTATGTATCGTTTCAGTAATTTGATATTTATGGCAATCAGTTCGCTTGCGTTTTGAATCTTTCGCCCACATGGTTTACAAATTTGTTGGATTGTTCCGAGGAAGAACTAACTTCTATTCCTAAATAAACTGAACACAATTCGGCTTATTTCGGTCAAGCTTTTGCCACTGTCTTAATCATTTCGTTTGCTTGCCTTTAATAAATAATTTCTCCGAAGACACTGGCGATTTACATTTTCCGCGCATGCTTTTCTACCTCTTGTCGTCATTCAGAGGTGCTGATTGAAATTTTCAATGGCCATTCCTTCGACATATTTTGTACAAATATACCGTATTTGCAATTTTGCGACCAAACAATAACATAGTTTGACATTTTGATTATTAATATATTTAATGGTTGCTGATTGGCTAATTGGACTTGGACAAAAAAGTGGCCGGTTATCAAATTACACTGCCAAATCCAGCAGGCGTTATTTTACACCGCCTGCCATGCAGGCTACGTCTCTCCTAGCTAAGAATGTAATTGCATGCATACTAAAAATTGACTAAACTTTGGATGCAATACTAGTAATCCTAATATCTTCCTATCTCCAAGCCACCATGTCGATTCCAGACTTAACACTCAGGCATGTTAATGCCTGGGTCTGCCCACGCTTGGATGATATCTTGCGCGCGTGTTGCACGCGCGACTGTCAGTAATGCGTCTGTTAGAATATGCGTGAAAATTCATCACGCGAAAAACGCGTTCGACTTGCAGCAGGGTAATTTGACGAAATTTTGCTATTTTTGTTAGCTGAAAACATTAACAAGGAACAAAGTTTCTTGCGTTAATTTGGAAACCGTACATTTATTTGTTGATAACATTTAATGGCGCGATTAATAGCATTCGTTTGATGCCGATCATCGTAATATAGCCGCATAAAATAATGAAACGAAGCTTAAATGTAAACTTTCCAGATTTATTCAATAAACAGTGATATTATGTGTGAATGATTATCGCAATTCTGCGTCCTCTCAGTCACGAAATATACTGCTGCAGAGCCTCTGAATAAAACGTATCATTTTTGTGTTGTTTTTCAAAATATACATCACGTGATCGTTGCCATGACAACGAAAAGTAGGTCAACTTTTAGAAACTCCTTTGATAAATCATATAAAACTTGAATGGTAATAATCAAGGCCATACTTAGTCTTTTATGATTTTTTGTCTATTTTCGCTAAATACACAAACTGAGACACAGGCATTAATGTACCTGAGCAACACGAAAACTACTGCAGCAAATCCATGCATAACGAAACCAATATTCCAGAACCAATCTGATGTCAATCAAACATGCTTTATAATTTCAAAGATTCCAGGCTTGAAAATGGAAAATCTTAATATTACCAATCTAGTTAAGCATGTCGATGAGTTGAGAATACACATGTATGAACAAGAACTTGTCGCCTTAGGTATAAATGAAACAAGATAATTTGACTATTGACTACCAAACAGATATCACTTCTATTGATGGACTGGATATACATGAATTGCCAAAAATAGGAATAGATCACGAGGGAGTGTAGGATTCAATATTAGAATTACATTAAATTTTCACGAGAGACTCGATTTAAACAACAACGAAATTGAAACTCTTACTATTTAAGTTCAAAAACCTAAAGCGAAACCGTTTCTCATAACCACCTGGTATATAGACAAGCAAATTCAGCTACTGAAAAACTCAAGGAATTTGAAAAACACTGCAACATATTGATAACGAGGACAAATAAAGTATCGTAACGGCAGACATTAATATTGACATTGCTAAGGACTCAAACGATGCCGACACAGTAGAATTGAAATTTCTTATTACTCAGAGCAGTTTTTGCTTTGTTCCCCTTTTAGTCGTTCTGCTACAGACGAAGGAAGCTAGACATGAAGAAGATCTAACGATATGCACCATCTTGTTTCCGCTTTCTATCAGCTATCTGGATCACTACTTCTTCCTAATGGCTATGAACTCTCTACGTATATATGAACTATCTACATCTTATTGCCTGAACTATATATGTATTGTCTACTGGGTGCGGTAACGTTCTGCTTTGAGTTGCCACAAATTAATTCTGATCGTTTAGTTCCAGTATTTATGCACAAAAGCATAGTTTCCAAAAACAAAAACAAAAACAATACAAAGAAAACAAACCAAAAATAATAAAACAAATAACACATTCGTTAACCGAATAGCTTAGTGGTGTCTAGCATTTCTTTACTTTGCAGAAATAAAGCTATATTTGGGAAGCTCCAAAAAACCCCGTCAAAAACCCCACAAAAACAACTAAAAAAATTTATTATTACCATATAATCTAAATTGGACGGTACGTAATTTGTTGTAAACGTTTGTAGATCGAGGAGTAAATTTCGTAAATACACGATAACTGATATATAAATCAGAAACCAAAATCGTAAGTGCGTTATTCACACAATAAATATTTCACGTGCAAAATAAGAAATAAATAAATCTAAATAAAGCGACATGTATACCCGACATTAATAGAACACATAATCTGTCAATCAATATTTCAAGTTGATATAGTTTAGTTGATCTTTCGATTTGGTATGTAGGCATTATTTTGAGAGATACAAATGCGTGCATTGGTTTGTAGTTCGACTTGTCAATGCAAAAAAAACCTGCTAAAACATCTCAACGATTTGCAACCGCTCAGTTTTTAGTTAAAAAAACACCAAATTCCCAGTTCTCTTTGCAAAATACACGCTTCGATTAAAAGGCCTATAAACAGTGCGCTACACACGAAGCTGTAACTTTTACGTATATTTTGGCATATATACTATTACTAGGTTACCTTAGAGGTAGTGAATGTTGCCTTTTTGTCAGATGGCGGCAGAGCCCCCAAACGTCCCCACAGTCACTTTTTGTAGGGCTATATACCACCTCAAATAATGTTTACACTTTTTGAGTTGTTTTGTTCTTATTACATGACATTACGTCATAATTTGTGAATTGCATAAACTTAATGTAAATATTAAAAATAGCAAAACTAAAATCGAGGATACCACGTTAATATGCTTTTTTGATGAAACAAACACAATTATTAAGTACTATAGTTAAACCATGAGCAGCTGATCTAAATTCATATATTTACTCACTGTTTAGCCAAAAAAAATTCTGTATTTCATATCGGGAAAAAACATCTTGAATATCTACTAAACTCTTCAGAATTTGCCAAGTCAGTGGGAGTAAAATACTCCTGGTATTCAAGCGCTTTCATGTAGAAAGTTTCTTTTGAATACGGGAAATAAAAACTTTTATTCTCAATGAATTTTTTTTTTTCTGTGTTGGTGTTGTGTACTCAGGTGAATTATTTTCAATGTTTTCAAAATATCAGGTTTTTACTCGCACGCACGCGCCCATGTATAAAGAGAATAGAATAGCATGCAGAATCGATTTCCGGTTTATCCAGACCCCTCGGAATCTAGGATGTAAACAGCGCTTTGTTTTGATGTACGTTTCACGGGCCGCGCTAAAAAAATAAATATTCTGTAAATACCGAAATAAAAGATGAAAATCTGAAGAGATAAGCTTGAAAAAGATATGTCCAAAGGCGCCGAAGTTATGTTCGGCGAAATGTATAGCTTTGGCTAGTTAACATTGTTCGAATATAAGAAATATGATACCGCTTGACCTCCCAAAGGTCACAAATAGCTGTAAATATTGTGGAAAATTTGACTAAAACTATCGTTTAGTGTGGAAATTTGTAGATTTTGTTTCACTGAATCGAATGATAGTATTTTTGTCTTCATAGCATACACCGAACCGAAGATATGAACTTTGCAAATAAGTCACAGAGTTAAGAGATATCAGATAAAGTAGATTCACGCATAGAATTGTGTGTCTATCTGATATTTGACCACAATGCAATGCGCTAAGGCAAAATTTAAAAAATTCCCAACTACATCAATTACGTCTGTTGCTTTGCTCGCTCGCTGAAGGCTCGCTCGCTGCGGCAGCAATAATTTCAGCCAATAGCATTTTCGCTACCTCACACGTCCGACAAATACAAAATTTCCAGTTATTGTTTGATTAAGCATTTAATCTATTTACACTTTTAATATACTTTGGAAAGAAAAGTGAGTAACACAACATACCAGATCGATGTAGTGGCCTTTTTACAAACTAGGCAGACATTGCCAGACAGAGAATTATCCAAGATAACAGAACTTCGAGATTCGTATACCGTATACGTAGCGGCTTGAACTTCTGATTCACTGTACAGATAAAGTAAATCAGTTGTCCACAGGAATCATAATACTTTGGTCCAACACATGTCCGTCCACAGTTAATATATCAGGGAGGGCGTAACACGAATACGTTTGCCGAACTAAATGTATTTGACGCACGGATGAATCATTGACTGACATGGAACAGTGTAAATATGAATAAATCTGAGAATGACCAGTACAATAGCTTGGACGAATCTAATTCATCAGATCAATTTATTAATTCATTTCATAGGACGCACTATGCAGCACGCTAAGAGCGCACAATAGTTAAATATCAAAATGTAAATGTATCGGTAGATCTTTGCCTGCACAATCTAGTTGTTTGTGCGAAAAACCATTGATACGAGCGGATGTAGATATGGCACACTTCCCCACTTTGCATTCTAGTTCCATTTGCAATGATAATAAACATGACGTTGCTTACAGCAGCACATGAGATCGAGAAATTCCGCATAACTTAAAAAGAATCATGGAATTAAGAGTTCTTCGCTTTCCTGCTCTTTGTTTTCGAGATCTTAGATCTTTTTTGTAGTAATCACGCCAACATGGAGAAATATAGGCCTATAGCTACATAATTAAACTATCTATTATATAACCAAATATACTGTAATCTATATGAACACTAGACAGACTTTGAGACAAAGAGCCAACAGATAAACATAAAATATAGGGGCATGTAGAATACGAATAAGAAAGCTAGTATTATCAAACGAGTAATATAGACAAGTAAGTGTTCCATAAAAAGTTTTGATATGACAAGAGTTTTATTCATACTGACGATGGGGAAATTGTAGGCTATAGCATTATTTTTTGTATTCTCAATACTGAATATGAACGACAATGGACCGCTGCGCACGCATATATTCATCAGCGGAGCAGTATCGAATGCTTACAATTGCAACCCACCAATAAATACTGTAAAGCGATAGTAGCTTAATAATCAGTTAGCATGTAACGCAGACCAGCCACTGCCTCAAATAAATTTGATCACCGTCATGTGCGCGCGATGTACTGTGAGTAATAGCTAACAATAGCTGAATAATGCACTTTATCACTGTTGCAGGAGCAGTTCCAGAATTGAGAATTTTTAAAATTTGGCAGTTAAAATTACTTTTCCATTACATCGGCAACACCGCTTTGGTAAAGTAGTATATGTGATACAATGCACTATAGAACAAACATTTTGATTTCATAACAGTTTAATAAATGCCGCTACTCAACACTGCATGTCTATTAAAATGGTCTAAATAGTAACGACTAAAAAAAATCGAGCAATAATTTACGTATTAATAATGAACGGCAATACTAAAAAGATTTATATATAAATAGGAAGACAATGCCAAATTTATGTCAATAAACCTCAAATGGGAACAACATATGACCCCTGGTATATGAAATTCCAACTGCTAAACGGCAACGACCATATGTTTTAGACTAACAAACTCCAAAATATATATTATCACAATATAAGCTAAATTGGACTGTAATTTGTAGTAGCTCTAAATAAAGCATCAAATCGCCACAGTTTAATAATAACGTAAGCAAGGTTTGTAGATCAAGGAGTAAATTTCGCAAATACAAGATATTAACTGATATAGGCTTATAAATCAGAAACCAAAATCGTAACTGAATGCGTAATTATTCACCCAATAAATATTTCTCGTGCAAAATAAGAAATAAATAAATCTAAATAAAGCGACATGTATTCTGTGGCCAACTTTAATAGGACACATAATTTGTCATTCAGTATTTCAAGTTGATATATAGTTTAGTTGATCTTTCGATTGGGTATGTAGGTACTATTTAGAGAAATACTAGCCTACATTGGTTTGTAGTTCGATTTGTCAATGCAGATATCCAACGAAAAAAGCTGCTAAAACATCTCAACGATTTGCAACCGCTTAGTTATAGTTTAAAAAAGCCAAATCACAGTTCTCTTTTGAAAATGCACGCTTTGAATTAAATGGCTATAAACAGTGTGCCACAGAAGGAGCTATAATTTTTGCGTATATTTTGGCATATACTATTATAATTTCAGCCAATACCATTTTCGCTTCCTCTCACGGCCGAAAATTACCAAATTTCCAGTTATTGTTTCATTAAGTATTTTTACTTTTAATATACTTTAGAAAGAAAATACAACATACCAGATCGACGAGGCCTTTTTATATAAATAGGCAGAGATTGCCAGAGAAAGAATTATCCAAGATAAAAAACTTCGAGATTCGTATACTTATAGCGTAATTCAGCTGTCCATAGGAATCAAAATACTTTGGTCCAACACATATCTGGCCACAGTTAATATAATATCAGGTCCGGGAGGGCGTAACACGAATCCGTTTGCCGTATTATGAAATATGTTTGACGGACGGATGAATCATTGACAGACATTGAACAGTGCAAATATGAATAAATCTTGCAATGACCTGTACAATCTAGCTTGGGCGAATTTAATTGATCTAGCAGACTAATTTATTAATTCATTTCATAGGACGCACTATGCAGCACGCAAAGAGCGCAAAATAGTTAAATATCATGATGTAAAAATATCGCAGATGGTTGGTTGCACAATTTAGTTGTTTATGCAAAAAAACATTGATAAGAGCTGATGTAGATATGTCAACACTTCCCCACTTCGCATTCCAGTTCCATTGACAATGATAATAAACATACTGTTGCCTACAGTAGCACTCATGATATCAAGAAATTCATAAATTAATAAGAATAAAAGAATTAAGAATTCTTAGTTTTCCTGCTTTTTTTTCGAGATCTTAGATCTTTGTTGTAGTAATCACTTTACCATGAAGAAGTATACATAATTAAACTATCTATATTAGTTACCCTAAATATATATAGTATATGGACATTAGACTGACAGGTGAGACAAAAAACAACAACAGATAAACATAAGATATAGGGGCATTTAGAAAACGAAAAAGAAAGCAAGCATTATCAAGCGAGTAAAACAGACAAGTAAGCAGGGGCGTAGCGTGCGGGGTGTGTGTGTGTGGGGGGGGGGAGGGATGACACCCCTCAGTTTCAGAGAGGTAGTCGGTAAAACGCGAAATTAGTCGGTAATGGCAAGAGACATGACAGCGGTCGGTAAAACAAATCGGTTAAAGTGGAATTTTTCTCTGTTGCTAAATGGCTTTTAATAATTAATAATATAAAATAATATTGTGCCTTGTTCTCCAATAAATTTATGCAAAATGTACGTAATTCTTCAGTAATTTTGCAGCCAGCCCCTAATAGACCAATTGCGAATCTTAGTGGCCGCGCCTTCATACTGCACGAAAACGAGGCTTATTATGCAAAAACAAAACAATTTCTATATTTTTATATAGCGAAAAGTGTATTTTAGGGTTTTTAAAGTGTTTTTT